GCTTTTTGATAAACACACCCCATTTTAAGACCTTCTACCCGATTCCTGAGTCCGACAGAAATCCAGAAGATGATGCCTTCTCTCACACGGAGTTTGGAGCCAGTGAAGGAAGTCAGCGCTATGAATTCTGGGTACACTGCATGTTTCTGGTTCTGGTTCCATGGCTTACAATCTTCATCCTAAATATGCTGATCATCTGCCGCGTTGTCAGGGCCAACAGAGGCATGTCGACCCGGAAGAGCATAAAAGGACAGGAGAAGGCCAAGAGGGCAGAGAACCAGATGACCCGCCTTCTTTTGACCGTGACATTCGTTTTTCTCATCCTTATTGCCCTTCAGTGTATAACGCAATGCTTCTTCATGATGCAGCCAGAAACGGTGAGTTAGATTAAGAATATTCACGAATTGCAGTTAAAGAAGTTCAAGACAGAGTGTTCATTAAAGATTTATTCTTATTTGCAATTGAATCGTTTTCACTATGAATGTCTCTGTTCATTATGCTATAATATATGTTATTAATATAATTTGTTTCAGGCCGATCTGCGCATTGTTAACGAGGCATTTTCTGTCGCCAAACTTGGAATCGTGATCAACTCCTCTATCAACTTTTTTCTCTACTGTCTCAGTGCACGCAAGTTCCGCAAAGAGTTGTTCAGAGTTATTGGAATCCGAAAGGGAGAAAGAGAGGAGTCCTTCTCAAGCTCCACGGCATCTACCACATTATCTACGGCCAAATTCAAAATGTCCTATAAAGCCTAATCATGGAGAACGCCACATACGAGTAAAGCAACAGTGCTAAACACATTTCTGAATTAAAATGTGTGAACTCGCCAAAATCTCTCAAGTAGAAACCTACTTTTGGTACATGTATTACATAGACCCCCCCCCCCTTTTTCCCAAAGATAAACCGGGGTTGACATTGTAATCAAAAGATTCTGGTCAAACTAAGTGCTATATTTTTGGTTTTCTATAATAATAATATCCAATAAAAACAATATTGTACAGTGAAAAAGTATTTACTGTTGTATGTATATTTCTTCAAATCTTTTGTTTTCGTACACTTGACAGTTTTTTGTTTTCTTGTCCAGAATATTGTTGATGTTTTCCCGAAATTCTGTTATGTGAAGTTTTTGTCGTAATAAAAGTAACTTTATATTTGCATCTTTTAACCATATTTGATATGTACAATTTATATTTGGATTTGTTATCATTATTATTTTCCTTCTACTTATCGTTCTTATAGATGAGTGTTGCTGTTTTAAAGGTTGTGTTAATAAAATGTTTGCACTTTTTAATTATTTTTTTAATGCTTATAAGACTGCAAAGGTTTAGGCTGGGACGATGCATAATTTTAGTATTAAAGGCAATGAACACGTAACGGTGTCAGTGTATTTACACGTGACGATAATTATTCAAATATTTCCTGATCATGAACTTCATTATTGTGAATTTAGTGTGGACAATCCTAAGTATACAGAAATTATGATTGTCTGGATTTTACAATAAATGTTTGTAAACATAAAGGGTTATTTTAATAACTTTTTTATTCAAGCGTTATCCAACCTAGTTATTAGTACATCAATGGAATAAGCTAAGCACATGATTTTGTTGAAACACCAACCTTGAATGTGCTGCTTTTTATAGCGAACAATTTGTTGTTTGAAAGAAAATTCCATGAAAAGCTACACGGAGATAAATAGAAGCGTTCGTGTATAAACATAACTCGACATTTCTGTTTTAATACTGGTGAAAAAATTTCTTATATATACATGTATGCATTTTCCAAACAAATCCCTCTTTGTCAAGTAATATGCTCCTTTTCTCGAGTCAATATGCAGGTTATACTTAAATTTTACATTCAGAAATGCTTAAAATCGTCAAACATTTAGATCACGAATTATCCAGGTATTTATATAAGTCTTTAAAATCAAACAAGTCGAAAAGATGCTTATACTTTGTCTCTGAAGGATTACGACTTTTAATAAGCACACCAATTACACTGCAAGTCGTCTATACACTAGAGATATATATTATTAAGTAATAAAAAAATACATGTGTCAGTTCCATTGACAAAATTTCTTCCAGTGTTGAAAAATATTAAGAAGATAAAATTGCATTGTAAAACAAACAATGAAACAAAAAATAACAACGATATACATATATATGTCCGTTTTTGCCAAAGAAGATAAAACAAATCCACCATAAAAAAAGAATATGAATTCCCAGACATGCCATACACCCACGTTAACAAGAGTGTGAATAACACACTTCAAAAGAGGCAATAGAGGAAAATATAAACTGATTCAGATTTGATCCTCACCAGAATCTTTAAAGATTTCGTAAATAAAATGGCACCATAGCTTGTCGTCATCTTAGGAAGTGCCACCAGACAATTCAAACAGCAAATATCTGGAGATCTGGTGTTCTGTCAATTTAACAGCCATTCAATTATAAAGAGAGAGAGAGAGAGAGGTTAGTAGAGTTGTCACCAGCAATGATAAAACATAAAACATTCTAACAGCCTTTAAGAGGTAGGACCTAGTGTTGAAACTCAGGGCCCCATTTTACAAAGAACGTACGACTAAGACCAAAATGTAATTTTGCAAATAACTTTATATTTTACATTAATATGAAAATGCTTCAAACATATTGTAAAAAGAAGTCAGACAATAATATTAGAAGATTTTATAATCAAATTAAGGTTTTCGTCTTGGTTGCATGTTCTTTGGGACCCAGTTCCTTACACATGTATGTATACGTAAAGATAAAGACAAGTCACAAGAAACTGTAGTCATATAGATTTTAGCACAGTGTTTGACCATGGCACTCTTTGCTATGCTGAAGATCAGCAGCAGCTATAGACTTTCTCGGATAATGTCGTTTTTTCTCTACTGTCTCAGTGCACACGATTTTGTTCCAAAGAACTTAGCAAGTTATGGTGAGTAGTCTCGCATCAAATCGTGGGCTGCATTGCATTACCGAAAATTTTGAAACTGGTCGGTTATCATTACCGAATATTATTTTTTTATTTCCGGGAAAAAACCCAATGATATATCATTACCGAAAATTCAAAATGGGATACCTGTTTATGCTCTAAAGAGTGACAGAAAAAGATCTCAAAGTTCTGCATCCAGGTATACAGTTGATATAATATAACTAAACGAAATTCTCTACTATGATAATAATAACAGAATACTGAGAATAGGATTTTGTTTTAATTATAAAGAAAATATCTAAAACGTCAAGTGCCTGTGTTAGTGGAGTACAACAAGGGGCACTCCTAGTCCAGTTCTATTCTTACTTTTCATGCGACCAACCGTATATAGAAGCCAGACCGTTTGTTGACAGCTGTCTAATATACAGAGAGGTTAATTCAAACGAGGATCATGATAATGTCTTTCCACAAAATGATTTTAAAAAAATTGTTATAACTACTTTTCTGCTGCCTGTACAGGAAGATCTATTGAAACCCGAAGATTGGAAGAATTACACATTGAGGATATACGTCTTGCCAGTGAAAACACTACAAACAGTGCTGTAAACAAACTTTTATTCGCGTTCGAGAAATATTCGCGAGTTTCGCGACCTACTGTAATTCGCGAATATTTATCACCGCGAATCAATTATTTTCCTTTGTTTTTGTAGAGAATGTTTCCTAAGTCGCGAAAATTAATCGCCGCGGATTGATTTCAAAATGACGAATCGCTAATATAAGATGACACGAATAATATTTGCTTTACAGTATATTTTGAACAATTTAGAGATGTCCTGCAATCTCAACAGGTCTATACATCAACAAGACAATAGACAGATAGACAGAAGAAACAGTATCGGGATTCTTCAAGGAAATTTACCAGTGACGAATGAGGTGACCAAAAGCAGTCGCACATTTGAATACTCGATTGTATTTATCTTCACCACATCTCAAAGCAAGCACGCTCGTCCTGTTTATTTGTATAGCATGCCCCCGCTGATTATTTTTTGCATAGTCCATGTGCCTCTGGTTTAGGCGACCTTATGTGACCTAATTGGTGACCAATATATTGCAACCGACAAAGGTGCGCTTTATATGAATGCGCACAATACTTTCATTCACAGTATAAAGCGCACCCATCCGCCCCTATCCACCCCAAATCCTTAACTCCATGCTTTTAACCCTTTTGGTACCTTTTTAACTTGTATGTAACAACTTTTTAAAAGTTTATTATTTGAAAAATATTAAAATTCCGGCGTGTTTGAATGACCTGGCTAACAACTTGAAAGGGAAACAGCTTTTAAATAAAATCTTAAATTTTATATTATGTGTGCTGTATTATAAAACAAAATTTATAATACAGCACACATACAGTATAATATAAAATTTCATGATCCTGGGGACTGATGACACTTCATGATTTCCTCTTTAGAAAACAAGATGTGAAGTATGAAAGCCCTAGCACCAACTGTTCAAAAGTTATGGCCAAGGTTAAAGTTGGGGAAAATTTGTAAAACTGGGTCAAACTCCAAGGTCAAGATCAAAAGGTCAAATATGATGGTACCCAAAGAAAGGCCTTAATTGTCACAAGAAATACACATGTGAAATATGCAAGCCATAGCTTAACCAATCAAAAATTATGAGCAATGTTAAAGTTTTTGCGGACAAACAGACAAACAGACAGACGGACATGGCAAAAACTATATACTCCCGAATCTTCGATGCGGGGCATAAAAGGAAATACAAATTGAAGAGGTGTAAAACTACTCAGTACCTGTAGATCAATATAGACCCCATCCCAACTCAGCATTTTGTGTAATTTTGCGTTGTCATTTTTGATTAAGTTTGAACCCTCACCCCAACCGGAATGTGCATTTCATGTGAAAAAGTTATTCATAACATGTCGGATTACCCATATAGCAGGATAATGTGAAATATATATATCCGGAAATATCCGACCAAGATTATTTGTCCTGTGTTTTCGGAATCTCTTAAGAGTTTACATTTGATCATAGAAATGAAATGCCAAAACTAAATTATACAGTAAGTTTTCTTGACATCTGTGCTAGTACTTTTATTTGACATCGATGATGCTTCCAGTTTGTAAATTAAATCAAGTATAGATGTTAAGATATTGAAATAACGACTTAATACCAACGACACTTACGTTTATTCATGATTTAACGTTACATAACCGATGAAAGTCTTCAGTAGATAGACTATGTATAGGCCTACTGTTTACACCTTGTCACCCTAGATGTGGCAAGAAATTGGTACTTCGTTTTTTATGTAATACTTTTATATCCAAAGGGTGCACTCCTTAAAATGTATCCTGGGTGCTGAAGTGTAATCTTCAAAATACAGTACCTATATCAATTTCTTTCCATATAGACATGATTTACACTGACAGCATATTCTATGTCTATGACAATATTAGGCCTACATTTATTATCTATTTTTATAGTGTAACCAGTTTTGGTATGTGTATGTTGATAAACATACACTGTATGTGGTGAGGTCACACAGGTCAGAAACTGGTACAAGATATAAATATGTTATACAGTAGCACACTTGGCTAGGCTAGTTCCTGTCAATGATGTTTTTAAAAATATACTATCAGTGTGGTGATGCCTTTTGTGCTAGCTTTCATAAAGAAGGGTATAATTTCTTAATCTGTTACTTACCGTCTCCCTGTTTGTGTTTTCTTCGATTGTTTATTATATTACCTCTTTTCACTTTAGGCCATTCCAAGTTTTTTTTCCATGTTTCCACGTGCGCCTTGGTTTTTGACACTTTATATAAGAAAAAACAAACAAAATCAGGAGTTCTAAAATTGATTATTCTGTTCTATTTCTTTGAATTCTGTCATTTTCTCTAATGATCTGTCTACAAAATGTCATATTAGGTTTATTTTAAGCAGTTGATACATTCAATTAGCTAAAAAAAAAAAATCTATCGATCTTTGAGAAGAAGTAACTATATTGATGGCATCAAATCCTTTGAAAGACATCATATTCATATTTTTAAAGTTTGTGTTTTATTTTTTGTCTTGTGTGTGTGTTTTTTTTTTTTGCGAATAGGTAGGTAGGTTTTTGAAAGATGGATGGATGCTAAACAGAAAAAAAAAACTTGGAATGGCCTTCTCCAAACCTGTGTTAAACTGTTTTTCAAGAATAGCTAAACATTTTACTTTTGCAAATGATTGATCATGTTTTGTATAGAAGAAAACATGGTTCAAGGAGTTTAATTTGATTTGGATTGTCAAGAATGTAAAGGGATGTTTCTATTGCAAACTTCATGTAAAGGGTCATATATACTACTGTTTTAATGTAAATATGCTTTGTGAAGGTTATGTGGTAACAATACCAGTATATAAAGACTATAATCTGTGTGCAGTAGATTGACTTTAATTTTGTTATTTTACCAGGATAAAAAACAAGGCTCAGGATATGTAGAATAAATATACACAATGAGTGAGAGGCCTACCTTTAGACCGTACACTGATTACCAACAACGGCAACGTAATCTCCTCACCCACAAGGATGAATTCGGACCAAAGCTCTTTAAACAGATGGTGGTGGGGTTTGTGTGTGCAGGACTGTTGGGGCTGATTTTTCTGATTCTAGGGGCAGTTTTTATGAAGGAGGCCCTCAAGTCTGAGTATTCTATATCAGTGATGCTGTGTGTATTTGGAATGGGTAAGAATTGATACTAGCAGGATATCAAATGTGTATAATTTATCTTATTTGTGAAATCTCTTGCCTCGGAATTACATAAAATAAGTTTTAAATGTAAAATTTCAGTTAAATATAAGAGTACCATCATTTTGTTTTTAAATTTTTGTTTCCTCAAGAAAACAAGAACTTT